AATATAGGTAGATAACAAATTTATTTTATACCTATCTATACATCACACACTACAATAAGTACAAAGTACAACTGTACAACTGCAGTATAAGAATAAGTATTTTGGTAAATTTTCCAGTAAACCTTTTTTTCTATTATTTATTACTTATTATGGTAGATGACAAATATATAATATGTACAAGCATTTTATTCATTACACTTACACTCTAAAATACGAAGCACAACTGACTTTTTTTTCCGATTACCGTCATCACGTTTTGGGGCCGGCATTAGACGACTATACAGTAATGTTACTGACCTACAGTCTAAAACAGTGGTTTTTAATTTTTTTTTTTTTTTCTAAACGGCACACTGTGCTCCTCATAATATTTTCACGGCACATGTCACAGCTATATGAACAACGTTTGAACATATTTTCTCCATCAAACGCTTTTTTTTTAGTCATTATTAATGATAAGTGATAACTAGAGCTCGGATGTTTATGACAGCATATTTTTTTCGCGAAACCAGTATTGTAACAAGTATGACTAGATTATTATAATGTGTAAAAACTAATTTTGCATATTCGAGCATATTGATTATTTCTTGATTATTTAGCATAATATGTTATATTATAAAATATAATTTATAAGTATAATATTAAAAATTGTCCATATTATTATCACTTATCATTGTTAAATTGTTATATTTCAATAAWAAAAAAAAAAATCATCCCTAATATTATCGTGTTAATGACTCAAGAGTCATAAAATTAGGAGATTAGWTATGTATAAGCCAGCGGCGCAGTGGTCAATGGACATGGAAGTTGATGACATTGTTAAATTCAAGTTTATATCGATCAACTTTGTAGACGTAGAGCGGTCGTTTTAGATTTATTATAACTTAATAACCAGGGCTTTGCACCTGAACGAAACCCAAAACCCGAAACCCCAATTAACCCGAATAAATTTGCAAAACCCAAACCCGTATAATACAACACCTGAATGAAAAAATTAACACCTGAATTAACCAGAAACCAGAATTAATATTTGGGTTAACCCAAAACCCGAATTATTATTAAATACAAAGAAATGAGTGGCA